GGAAGGGTGGGTGGGATGGAATACACAAAGATTCATGGACAAAACTGAGCATCCAAGAGAAATTTGACTCAACATTCTGTATGGGGGTCAAAGGAAAGGAGACCCCCTGTATGGTTGGGGAAATTGAGAAGGCTATGTGGAAGAGGTATATTCAAGACAGGTCTTGAAGAAAGGGGAACATTTGTACATGGAGGAAAGGGATAAGGGTGGGTGATGTTGAGGCTGAAGGAAAAGGCTGAGCAGATGCCCCAGCAGGAGGCCCAGGGCTGGTGGGGGCAGTAGGCAGTGGAGATGGGGTGTGATGTAGTTTGTGCAGTTAAAACAGAGGAGGCAGGTGCCAGGTCTGGTGAATGGGGGAGGGAGAGGAAGTAGGAGAGAGTTAGAGACTGCTGGATATTCAATGAGAGTCCCATGTGGTGACATTCTGGCAAGAAAGTAGAGGATGATTGAGAAAGGACAAAGGACGGGGATGGAGGCTATAGGAGACAAAGCAAAGGACAGGGCAAAGGAGGACCCAAGGACAGACACGAGGCTCCCACCCTGGATGACGGTATAAGAGAAAAGTGATTAGGGTGAGGTGGAGAAAGACGATGGCTTTACATAGATGAACAGAGAGACCAATATGCTATTGGAAATGCAGGTCTAGGATCAAGGGTAAGAATGGAGATTTGGGAGTCATGTACATAACCATCAATGTCATCATCAAATACCTACCACTTACTGAGTACCTGCTATGTGCCTGATGCTACATGAGAAAATAATTTATTCCTCATAACAAGCTACAGAATCAGCAGGATGAGCTTCATTTAACAGATAAGAAAAACTGAGAGTCAGAGATGTTAATAAACTTGTCCAAGTTCAGCCAGCATGGAGGAAGTAGACGTTGGCTCATCAATCCACTAAAGTAGAGCAATGTTATGATAGTTGAAGAGCCTCTCTTAAAGAAGGCGAGAGGTGAGAAGACATTAGCTTACAGAACCTGGTGAGAGTCACCACAAAGGCTCTGCCTGAGCCACTTCCCCCTCTTAATTAGTCATTAATTATCAGCTCCCTGTCACTGCTCTAATGACTTCCAACATGGAAGTCATGGAAGATGTCAGAACTGTATGAGAAAATATGTGTATAGAATGGCAGGTGACACACTAGCATGCGGGGATTTTTGTGGCCAGAGTCTAAGATTAAGGAACCATATAGGGGCAAGAAAATCAAGAGGAAAGTTTCAAGAGGAGAATTTCAACATCAGGAGCAAGGAGGGAGGAGGGAGGTTGAGGATGGGCCATGGGAGTGGGAGCCAGAATGTGAGGAGTAGGGCATAGGGAGTTGGATCACCAGTTTGGCATACATTTTCAGAGGGAGGTAAAAGGTAGACTTGTCTTCCAAGAAGTGCAGTGGAAAACAAGATTTGACTAGTGCTCCAGAGGGAGGAGAGACAAATGGAGCTCTGTTTTATCCTGGGGAGATTTTGGAGGGTGTGCACCGGCAGGTGGGGAGCAGCAAACAGAAGGGTGGAGGTTGGAAATGCAAGAAGGGGACAAGTAGTGAACATCCAGAGGAGGCAAGAGAGGGGAGGTCATCTGTACTGGGTCAGACAAGGAAGGTTTTTGAGAGTCACAAAAGACGACCTTGGGATTTTCTCTTTAATTTATTCAGTACTTATTCATTGAATTCTACTGTGTGCTGGGCACTGTCCAAGCATTGGGGATACAGAAATTAATATGGCAGGAATGGTCTCTGCCTCTATGGAGCTTAAAGTCTAGGGAATGGGATAAATATCAGTTTTTAAAATGTTTTTTTTTTCTTTTCTTGGTTGAAGCCTAGACATTGACTGGCAGAAGGAGTCTCTGAGGATTATCTCAAGTCTCTGCCTCTAAACAGGATGACACCATGCCAGGGAGATGGACCCCTTTACCATGTTGGAACACCTCAGGCAGTGGGCTTCATACCTTCTCTCAGTTGCCAGTAGCATCTTATAAATCTTGGGCTAAGGTTTCCCTAGGAAGCACTAATAGGCCAATGGGAAAGAGATATAAAGTCGGGGCCTCATGCCAGTTTCTTAATACACCTGAGGAGAGGTAAAAGGGTGATGGAAGTTAAAAGGGAAGGAAGCAATTTATGATGAGTTCCCCCTCACTCTCTGTACTCTGCCTTTGGAGGACTTTCCTGGATAAGCCAAGGCCAAATATCCAATCTAGGCTTCAGGGAACATGTCAGAGTTTACCAGGAAGAATGAGCCAAGCTACAATGTTCTCACCCTTCTAACATGATTTCTGCTGGAGCAGGAACAAAATGCTTGGAAGCAGATATCCATATTTCCTTTGGGTTCATGCAGTGCTGCTCAGATAAAGACCAAGTAGACAATTGTCCCATTGGTATTGTAGACAGAATTCCAAGATGGCCCTAGGATTCCTACCCCTGGGGTACAGGTCCTATATAATCCCCTCCTTTCAAATTTGAGTGAGACAAATGAATATAATGGCTATCACTCCTATAATATGTGATATGATATGTCCAACATGACTTTGAGTTAACCAAAAGGGTGGTCCTGGTCTAATCAGGTCTGGCCTTTAAAAGAAAGTAAAACCTTGGAAGAAATACTCCTCTGTGGGCTTTGAAAAAGCAAACTCCATGTTGCTCCTTGGGCTATACAGCAGGGAAACATGGGCAGCCTTTGTTAACTGAGGGCCTCTGACCTACAAGTGTAAGAAACTGGCTTCAGCCAAGAATAGTGAGCTTGAAAGAAGACTTAGATAAGATTGCAGCCCCAGCTGACACTTTGGTTTCAGCCTAGTGACATCCTAAACACAGAACCCATTTGAGCCATGCTCAGACAACTGATTTAAAGAACTGTGAGAAAATAAAGGGGCATTGTTTTAAGCACCTAAGTTTTTAATAGTTTGTTACACCGCAATAACCAATACATTTGCTATGGGGTTTTTTTGTTTGTTTGTTTGCTTGCTTGCTTGCTTGCTTGTTTTGTTTTTTGCAGTGCCAGGGATGGAGCCCAGGGCCTTGCACATGCTGGGCAACTGCTCTACACCTGAGCTACATTCCCGACCCATCCTAGTATAATTTTTAATACTTTGAAGACCCCTACAACACTAGGATAATGACACCACTGGTCAATCTTTCTTCTGCAGCTTAGAGTCTTTTGTAAAATGCAGCTACTTTTGGGAAGCCTCGTGGGTCATTTATACCTGTATCTGAATAAGCTTCTAATTGCCCCTGGAGAGTAGGGCTAGGGCTGGATACAGGAGGAGAGATAGTGTGACTTCCATAGGCTTGGGAATAGAAAAGGGCACTGAATGACAAGACTAGAAGAGCCAAAGACTAGCACTGGGGACTTCCCATTTTACCTGGAATTGTCACTAGAAATCGGGTTGTATCCATAAGGTCCCCTGGGTTAAAAGGACACCTCTGAGGGTCCAGGATGTGGGTCACCATGCTACCCTGCAGGGGGAAACAGTGAGCATTGCAGAAGTTGTGGGTGGTATAGCTGCAGCCTTTGTTGGGTTGAGGAAAGCAGGTTGCAGGGTTGTACTGAGGGGTGAACCTGGCCTTTCTTCCTCTGCTCCTCATACCCATGGTCCCTAGGGAACATGGGAGTGGTGACATTGCTCTTGCCTGGAGAGGTGAGTCTCAGTTTTTCTTTCCCAATTCTTTGTTCAGGAATAACACAATATGTAAGAGAAGGGTAAGGCTATGGATAGGAATTTTTTTGATGCTGGGGATTGAGCCCATGGCCTTATGAATGCGAGGCAAGTACTCTTACCAACTGAGCTATATCCCCAGCCTATAGGACATAATTTTAGGACCCCAGAACATTTCCTTGCTTCCTAAACTTCTCTGAGAACCAGAGTCTGCAATACCACCAATTAGGCCTCTCCCCTTAAACCTCCTTCCTTATTTAAAATGCAAACCCTCCAGGAGGTATGGTAATGTTAATGGTCATTCACTTCTCAGGAGAATACTCTTTCTAGTCCTTTTCTGAGAGTTTTTGATAAAGGATAAAGTGAGAACATAGAAACCTAAGCACAGAGAAGACCATAGGCAGGTGGCCAGAGCTGAGATAAGGTGAGCAAGGCCCCTGAACACAAACTGGTCTGTGCCAAAAATTTTCCTGGGGCCAAATCTGGCCAGGTGAGGCAACACTAGCCAGTCCCACCGAACACTGTCCTGGCTGGACAGCTCCCACTGTGAATGAAAGTGTCTTAAATTGTAGAACTGTAGGACACTGTGGCCTGAGACCCACACTCCTGATACACCTCCAACTTTTTATTAGTTTCATGTTTATTGAGCACCTATCATATGCCAGACCCTGGGCTGGGTACTGGTAATGCAGTCAAACCCTGGTCTCAATCCTTGTGATGTTTGCAAGGAAAGGGAAGGATCCCAATGTAGTGACATGAATGCTGGGGAAGCAGGGAGGGAATAGCAGCAGTTGTTTTTTGTATTTTTTTTTCCTTAGCATTTCTGTTTAATTTTTAATGGTTTAATGTTTTTAAGTGTGCACCAAAGTAGAAACAATAGCACAATAAACTCACATATGGCCATAACTGAGCTCCAATGATTTTATTAATATTTTTATTAATATTAATATTGTGTTGCTTAACCCTTCTTTTTCTTACAGAGTATTTTAATACAAATTTAAGATAAGTACTTCAATACACATCTCTGATGGGAACATTTTTGATAACCACCACAGTAGCTATGGTTGGATACGATCAGCAACACCTTATTCCTCTGCCCCTTGAGACATCACCAATCCCCTGAATGGAATCCTATATCCTGCACCGCTAGAAGTCTTACCAAGGGCCTGGTATCTGAGGCCATGACATGGTAGAAATGTTCAGACATGAGCTCCCTAGTAGTCCCCAGCAATGCATTCCTTGGCCCCACCAAAGCTGGACCAGGTGACCCACTGAACTGATTGATATCCACCACTACCATCCAGGCTGTGACATCCCTTCCTAATGGATCCCTTTCCGCTGTCCTTGTTGCAGATTGAAATGCTAGAACACAAGTACGGGGGCCATCTGGTGTCCCGGAGAGCTGCTTGCACCATCCAAACCGCCTTCCGCCAGTACCAGCTCAGCAAGAACTTCGAAAAGATCCGCAACTCGCTCCTGGAGAGCCGCCTTCCGCGGCGGATCTCCCTGCGCAAGGTGCGGGCGCCCACAGCCGAGAGCCTGGTGGCTGAGAAGGCCCTTATGGAGGGCTACGGCCTCATGGGGCTGCCGCTAGTGCGCTCACCCTCCTTGCCGCCCACCTTCGCCGGCACGCTCACAGAGTTGGAGGACTCCTTCACTGAGCAGGTGCAGTCTCTGGCCAAGTCCATCGACGACGCCCTTAACACCTGGAGCCTCAAGACCATGTGCTCCCTGCAGGAGAGCGGCGCTTACCAGATCCACCAAGCCCTGCACGCAGGCACCGGGCAGCCCTGTCTGGAGACTGAGATGCGGGAGCCTGAAAGTGCAGGCGCAGGGCCTGGAGATGAGGCCAGCGAGGCCACCACCGGCCTGCCCCAGAGCCACAGCGGCACCCTCATGATGGCTTTCCGGGACGTCACTGTGCAGATCGCCAGCCAGAACATCTCGGTCTCCTCCTCCACCGCTCTGTCTGTGGCCAACTGCCTGGGCGCCCAGTCTGCCCAGGCCATAGCAGAACCCGCGGCCTGCAAAGCCGAACAGGGTGAGGCCCCTGGGCAGGAGGCCCCGGAGGCCCCCGCTGTGGGTCAGGGGGACGCCTTCTCCCAGGACACGTGCCCAGAAGTGGCAGTCAGTGGAGCCCCCCGGTCAGTGGCTGCGGAGTCGGTGGTGGAGGAGGCTGTGGCCACAGAGGTGGAGGAGGAAGAAGAGGAGACTGGGGAGGCAGGGAAAGGAACAGAGGCCGAGGCGGGTGACAACTCGGAGCAGCTGAGCAGTAGCAGCACATCCACCAAGTCTGCCAAGTCAGGTTCGGAAGTATCGGCTTCCGCCTCCAAGGAGGCCCTGCAGGCCATGATCCTGAGCCTGCCCCGCTACCACTGCGAGAACCCTGCTAGCTGCAAGTCACCCACGCTGTCCACCGACACGCTGCGCAAGCGCCTCTACCGCATTGGCCTCAACCTCTTCAACATGTAAGTGAGCTCTGGCCTGGCACATTGGGGACCTGGAGAGGGCCTGGGAGGGACGGAAAAATGGTGGATTTGAATTTACAGGGGTCTCCCTCTCCACCAAACTGGGTGCTAGGTAGTTTACCACATCATCCCAAGGTCTTTCCAGGTATTTTTGTGTCATACTTGATCACTGAGATAATATTTAGGAAGTACACATTTTATTTTTCATTATAAATTTATTTTAAGAAGCATTAGAGGGGAAAATATAAAATACAGGTTTTTTATGACTACTACTATTTAAGTTGGAGTGAGGGTTTGAAAAGTGAAAGAATTTAAAAGAAAATACAGTGTTGATTAAATAATAGAACAAACTGTATGAAAATTGAGCAGGAAGCACTCAGAATAAGAAATTAGGGAAACAAACCAGGCACAGTGGCCCATGTCTTTAATCCCAGAGTCTTGGTAGGTGGAGGCAGGAGGATTGCAAGTTCCAGGTGAGCCTCAGCAACTTAGCAAGACCTTAACTCAAGAATGAATGAATGAATGAATGAATGCATACATACATAAATAATTTTTAAAATGACTGAGGTGTAGCTCAGTGGTAAATTGCTCCTGGGTTCAATCCCTACTACCAAAGAAGAAAAAAGAAATTGAGGAAACAGCATTATTTCTTGGGATTGGTGAAATGAGGGACTGGGTGAAGGAGACAGAGTGTGTGAAAAGAATACAGGTAGAGATCAAGGGAAGGAAGGAATTAAAGGAGGAGAGGGAGACAAGGAAGAAAGTATGAAGCAAGCAGAGACAGACTAGAAAAAGAATAGGGGAATGGGAAGAGAAAAATTAATGGCCATAATTCAGAGATCCTAACCTGACTACTCCTTGCAACCAGAATGTGCACAGACAATGCCAAACAGAGGAAGCAGACATGCCCCTCTCATGGAAATTCAAAAACCATGAGATACTCATCACTATCCATTCACCCCTTCCTTCATAGCCCTAGGCTCAGAGCACTGATGTCTCTCCTGCCTACATGTGTGTTCATTTATTCATTCAACTATTATTTATTGAGTGCTAGGCACTGCAACTACAAAGATGAGTAAGACCCAGCCCCTGGCCTCAAGACACTCACTGCTGTTCATAGTTCAGCTGACATAAAGCATCTGCTATCTTCCCAATAATATCTAGTAATATGTATTATGCCATTTATAGAAAAGAAAATGACTCACAAAAGTGAGGCAGGTTGCACACTGTTCAACTCTAATACGAAGCAAACCTAGGGGAAGCCAGTGTGGACTCCAAATCCTTCTCTCCTTTTCCTCCTCACCTGATGAGCACAGCCCTGCCCTCACCCCTGCTCCCACCCTACCCCCATAGCCGCAGCATCGGTTCTGCCTACACATAAAAACTCTGAGATACTTCTATCCCTCAAAGTGGAGAGTCTCAAACTATCCCTCCTGAAAGACCAGTTTGGTTTTTCTCACCTCATATGTTGTGGGCTGATGCTTTTGTAAAACACAATAAAAATGAATTGCTAGAAAAACAATCACATGCTTGGTTGTCCCGAAAATGTCAAAGTGCTATAAAAGGTTCCAAATGCTTACCCTCAATCTCTGTACTTATCTTCTCCTGAACCAGTAAGATTCAGCCCAGGGAGCAGCATGGGTTTGCAGACTGCACTGAGAGTGCAATTGCCTTAGGAAAGGGCACACACCCACACGGAGAGACTCACACTAGAGATCAGTAGCCTTGTGTCCACCATGCAAAGGAAAGGAGGGGGGCGTAGTGGGAGATCTCACCTCTTTTCCCCCACCCTCTCTGGACTCCAGGGTGGGGACCTGAGATTGAGCTCAGGATACAGGTAAGAAGGAAGGGCCTCCTCAGTAGACCTGGGAGACCTCAGGGTAAGATCCAGAGCGAGCAAGGCAGGGATAGAGAAGGGTGCTATGCCTCCACTTGTTCTGGACTTCTCTTTGCCTATGCAAGACCTCCACATTAACCTCCTTCCAGCGCCGCCCCCAACCTCTGTGTGAGATGGGTCAGAGGAGGGATGCATCAGCGGAGACACCTCTGCAGCATAAAGAATCTCCTAGGAAGTTGGGTTTCCAAGGACCTCCGGGCCCTTTTATGGGTTTCACGGGTAGGAAGACAGAGAGGATGGAAGTCAGAGACAGCCTTGGCTCATTCTCTACTACTACTCCCCACTTCCAACCTCTCCTCCAGAAACCCTGACAAGGGCATCCAGTTCCTGATCTCGCGCGGTTTCATCCCGGACACCCCCATCGGTGTGGCCCATTTTCTGCTCCAGCGTAAGGGCCTCAGCCGCCAGATGATCGGCGAGTTCCTGGGCAACAGCAAGAAGCAGTTCAACCGCGACGTACTAGAGTGAGTGTCCGGCGCTCCGGGCTCCCCTACTCTCCATCCTTCCCACACCCCACCCGCCCAGGTTCTCCAGGCACCTCCGCTCAGACTTGGGACGTCTCAAGCGATTTCCTGGGTGAAATCTTTGCTTCAGCCCCGGCAGCTTCTTGATTGGCTGAGGGAGGTAGAGTCACGTGATCTTTAGCCAATCACTCCCCGCTGAACCAATCCTCGGTCTCTACCTGGGAGTCATTCGGAGTGTGCTGGGGCCAGGAGCCATTAGAGTCGCTAGGGATACTTCACATCAAAGTAGCTTGAAGTACACCCACCCTGCCACCCTCCAGAGCAAGAAAAAGAGGAGGAGGAAGAAGAAGAAAGTGTGTGTATGGCGGGGCGGGGGTGATGTATCAGCGCCTGGTCATCTCTGCCAGGGAACAGCCCCCTCAGCCCACACTCTCACTGCCACCTGTCCAGCCCCCAGGACACGTAAGCTCAGGCACATTTTTCAAATCGGCAGAGGCAAAACATGAAGGAGCAAAAGAAAGGGGACTGGATTGAGGGATTTTAGGAAGAAAGAAAGAAAAAAAGAACTGATTTCATAGAGATAAATTAACTAACAGGATGGCAACAAAGAAAATAATCTCAAAGTCCAATAGAAGGATGTGGTGGGGATCATGAAGAGCTGCCTTTCCTAGTGCTTAGCCAGTATCTCCATCCACAGAGTGAAAGGGCAGGGATGGCATTGCTTAGGGACTGAGGATCAAAGCCTTGGAGCCCCTGCTTCCTGGGGAGGGACGGTGAGACCCCTGCTGCTCCCCTGTGTTCCTTCTCTTTCACTATGCCCCCTAAGCTCACTTCTTTATTGACCGGCACCCTCCTTCTGTAGGGACCCTCCCCATTTCTCTCCCTTCTTTTCCTTGGGTACAGTCAGCAGAATTGTTTCTTCAGAGGTCCTGGTAGAATCTGCCCCTTTTGTACTTGCTTCTGAAGTATCAAGGGCCTGCTGAGAGAGGGACAGGGACTCTTTCTGCCCCAGGGTTGGGAAGCTTGGGGAGTTACCCTGCCTGTTGGTTGATAGTATATCTGAGCCAGGGCTGTGTTACATACCTGTGGAATGGGGCAGGGATGCAGGGTATTGGATTTTGAAGGGTAGACAAGTTGCCTTCTGATAATGCACTAGGCTGGGCATCCCATGTGTTAACATTATGTGGGAACAGCCATGGCTTATAATCTCAGGGGACTTACAGATCCTGAAGACAGACCCTGACTTCACTCTTGGGGTGTTTGAGTGCAGGTAGGAAAACAAGGGCTTAGTGCTATCTGAGAGACCTTGAAATCCCTGGACAACCCTTAGTTCGGCAAAGCCAAGGTCCTGCCTCTGACTCCCAGAACTGAAATCCAGGATCTGATGCTCTCAGTGCAGATAAGACCAAGGTTTTGGAAAGGAAAGAGAATAGATAAATGCTCAGCATTTCCCTTTGGCCCTCCTTTCTTCTACCTCCAGCTCCTCTTACCCTTTATCACCACCTCTGCCATGTGGGGTATCCTACAGGGGTGTTCCAAGGAAATGATACAGAACAAAGCACACATCAGGACGTACCAAAGAGAGATCTCATTTTCTTCGTTTCCCTCTTGCCCTTCCATTTGCCCCATTGTTGTGGCCTTTTCACATGCCTTTGTCCTTTTCCATTCTCCTCACTTTGCTCTTTCCAGCTGCCCCATGTTTCCAGGGGACCCTGCCACCTCTCTGCTCTGGGGGCAAGAGTGGACCTGCTTCTCTCACAGGCTCTGAATGTTTTCTTCTGCCCTCCCCAGTCCCTATGTGGCCAGTCTCTGGATCCTGTGTGCCAGGTCCACATTGATCTGAAAAGTGGGGAACAAGGAGTTTTTCACCAGGCCAGGTCATGCCGAGCAGCATAATGAAGACTAATTGCCGTCCTCCCTGGTGACTGAGTGTGGGGGAGACTGAGGGAGCCAGCATGGGGGCCTTGGGGCTGCAGACGCAGACCAGCCACCGCAGCCTGTGCTGGGGAGGGACCAAGCTGGGGACCTGGCCAGCTGCTGAAAGGAGTCAGGCTTGGAGTAGGTGAGACTGGATTATGCTTTTCCAGTGAGAGAAGGCAGAGAGTGGGACCAAACCTTGGTCCTGCAGCTCTCATTCTTCCCGTTCCTTAGTGCATTTGTCACACACTGGTTGGCACCATGGAGAATCATCTGCCCCAAACACTGGGGTCATGCTTTGTCATTCTGTCAGGTATCCCAGAGCAGCCCTCAGGCTCCAGGGCAATGATGGGTGTCAGGATTAATAGGGAATGAAATGACATTTTTTATTCATTCAACAAACATTGAGTACCTACTGTGTTTTGAAGATAGGGCTGTGCTGGGCATCCTGAGTATGTATGTGGGAATAGGCATGGCTCATGGTGTCAGAGAACTTACAGACCCAGACACCCATGGGGTGAGGTTAAAGATGAACATAGAAAGCAGGTAGACCACAGGGCCTCCTGGGTTTGGGAAGGGTTGTGTGCAGAGCGGAGCCCCGATGTTGTCCTAGTGAATGTCTCCATGCCCCTTGATTTATTCTGCAGCCAAGGGTTCCAAGGTCCTGGCACACTCAGCCTCTGAACTAACTCAGCCCCACAGAAAGGAGCCCTCCTAATTTTTGTCCAGGGACGAGGAGGCCTACTCCTACAGAGTGCCAGGAGGGCATAGAAAATTGAGAAAAGTCAGGCACTGGCAGCACAACTAGGACACTGGGGCTTTGGGCCTTTCCTTGCTGCTCCATCCCCCTATCTGGAACCTTTCAGGATTGGCTGCTTTGCCCTTCCTCCCACCAGAGCAAACACACACAATAGCAGAGTCTCCCCATGCCATTTTGCCCAGGCCCAGAAAGCTTCATTGGGATTCTGCACAGCTTCTCTGCCCCCGCCTGGTGACATTCAGCAAGTCGCATCCCTTCTATACAAAGCTGTTTGTTGAATAAAAGGACATAAATCACCCATCCCCTTGGAGACCGAGACAGCCCAAGTCACGGCCTGCCCCAAGAAGGAGCCCAACCAGGAGGACAGAGGTGGAATGCCTCTCAGGGGAGAAGGGTGTGGGGGGGATAACTCTTAGAAGCTAGGATGGAAAGGAGGAGAGGCAGGACCAAAGCCCAATCTGCCCCCTCTGCTGAGTCTGAACATCATGGAGGCCCTGACATTAGCTTCCAGAGTGGGCCCTTGGTGCTCTTGCAAGCTGATGTCTTGGGCTTTTGTGTCTCATTTCTACAGAAGACACATTCCAAAAAGGAACGTATTGCACCAGACTTTAGCAAGTAAGAACAGACGGCGTCCTGAGCTCTGAGTGCCATGCCTATTCCAGGGTTTACCAGCCAAGCTTGTTTGTTGGTTTTTCAAGGAGAAGTCAGTCTCAGTTTCCACATTCGTAAAATGGCCATAAAAGGATCTTCCTCCTGCAAATTAAATATTTAAAATACACAGGAAGAGCTTAACTCAGTAATCAAAGCTTAGTAAATGTACTGTAAATGTTGGTTATTTCTGTTATGATCTTTCCCACTTGAAATCGCAAGACAGAAACCTCTACCCTGACCCCAACCCAGGGAGACCTTGAACATCTCAGGTCTAGATTGAAGTCAGATCTGCCCACTGGATAAAACCTGGCTAGATTTTCTGGAATTTGCTGAGGAGGAGAGAGATGATAGGGGAGCTCGTTCTGAGGACCACCCTGCACTTGGGACATCCTTTCTGGATGCAATAGGAGCCAGACCGCAGCCAAAGTGGGGATCCTTTGAGGATATGTGCTTCCCTCTCTCTGTTTTCACATGGCTGGGAAATTTAGCTGTGCTCTATTTCCTTCCCAAAATGTTCGCTTCAGCAGGTTTGAAAGCCAGCGGATGGGGTAATGTTCCGTGTCGACAGTGAGCGGTCTCCTTTCTGGCCTGGATGAGTCTTTCCAGTGTGACTCACATGCACACGGAGGGCACTGGTATCCATCATTTCCATGAAAATGCACAAAGGGCAACTTCTGCGCTGAGCTGGGAGCAGAAAGTTTCCTGTGTATCCCTTCCCTCCACCACGGTTACTCCTTCCTTTGTGATGTTTGGGTCAGATTTCATTATTTCTTTCCATTCAAATGTGTTGGCCAGAGTATAACAGATTGTTCTTTTTAGGGGACATTTCAAAATGAAGACAGATTGTCTGTCAAACTTAACAGACTGCAAGGCTCTGGCCTTTCATCACTGGGAAGAAATTATTCAAGAACATCCTGCCCATGGTGCTGCGTGTAATCTCAGAAGAGTTCTCTCATTCCTGAGGAATTCCCACGAGGAGGAAAGGGAGAGCAGGCGAGAGCAGGCGAGGGCCCAGGCAGATTCATGGGTCTAGAGGAGGACAGAAGGAAGCCTGGGGCGGGCAGGAAGAGAAGAAGTGGAGTTATTTCCACCGCTTGAAAACTTTGCACTCCTACTGCCTAAAGGAATGGAAAGCAGTGTGTCTCTGTGAAAAGTGGTGTCTTTGAGGGACTGAGTGCTTACCTAGCATATATGAAGCCCTGGGTTTGAACCTCAGCAGCACAGCAGAAAGGAAGGAAGACAGACAGACAAGGTAGTGTCTTTGGCTTATGGTCTTGACCCTTTACCTCTCCAAGCCCCCCTCCCATCCCCTACCTTGCCATAGATAGACAAGGACTCTCCTGGACAGTAAAAATCATCATGGGAGGTGAGGACTCCCTTGCTTCTATATGTGGACATCTTGGAGACCCTAGTTGAGGGGGACAAACAAATCCAGGGTTGACAATACCGTATCAGTGTAGTCACTTCCACATGTGAACTGGACATCCTGAATAACGGACATCCCTACCACTCAACCCCTTCCTGATTACTCAGGCTCTAGCTCTAGAGGGGTCTCACTCAATCCCTGTGTAACATTCAGTTGTGGCTCCAGCTGACCACTTTTTTGTTGTTGTTGTTGTTCCAGGTATTGAACTCAGGGATGCTTAACCACTGAGCCCCATCCCCAGCCCTT